CAGTCTATCCTTAAATCAAGAATTTGGTTCATAAAGGTATGTCGTTAGGAGTAGTTACCGGAGTTGCATATCGAGGATGAAGCAAAATCTATTCATTTGCACAAATAATATGGAAATTTTTTATTTTTTTTAGGTAATGGTTCACAACAAATAATTGTTGCTCAGAAATTGTTATCTATTTAGAGGATGACAAGATTCTATATGAAGTTGCGTTTGGACAGGATGTCTATTAGACACTTACTTGTATTAGAAAAGTAGGGTGTTGAATACTTAAAGGTGGGACCGAACACCTAAATCTGGAAGCTGGTGTTACCGGACTAACGATACTTTCCTTAAACAAATTGGAAGGGGAATGTACGGATTGAGGTTCGTAACTCTTAGTTTTTATTGCGCCTGATGGAAATAAAATGCTTCATAGAAGGAAGCAGATGTTTGGAGGGAAGGTAGGAGGAGAGACATAGAGATTTGTCTCAAAGTCTGATATCTAGTAGGTCATCTAGAAGGACCGTCAGAGATCATTAAATCCTTGCAACCACTTCTCGATCTAGAGCGGGAATGACAGAGTAGTTCCCACGGATTTAGATGACAGATAGCTGATTCTACACAAGGGTCAGGATTCTGTATGGAATATTAATAATGGCAAATATGCTTAGGGTATATCCTAGGTTAGCAGGGGTAATTGGAAGCGTTACTTAGCCTTTCAGATATTATCTGTGCTATTGTTAGCACAAGGGGGTTCGTGCAACAATGTCTGGGATTTTGGATAGTAGGTGGTGTCGATCTCTCACTGGTTGGTCCGGCCTGGAAGCGAGGTTATATGATAATACCTTGACTTTATGTAAGGATACATTGGAGAAACATACTCTCTTTTAGTAAGGAGTGTGTATGGTTTGGAGGAGGCAATCGGATTTTGTAGATAGTTGAACTCGTACATAACAGTTCTCTATCAGGAAATGGTTGTTTTGGAGGAAGGTTGGTTTTCTGTATTACACTGCTTTTCACAGATTTGGATACTCGAGTTAGGCAATTGCTTATACTATAGCGTTACCAACTTGTTAAAGTGCTGCATGTATAAGAATTCTATGCGTCTGTTCTATGGAACATGGAGGAATAGTGATCATTACCCTTCGCTAAATATTGGATCGTTGATAGATACAATCTCGGAGTTGTACATATATGTTTTTCTTATACATGGAAACTGAGTATATTGTTGGATATGTTAGAATTTGGTGGAGCTCATCTAATGGAGCTGTGCCATACGAAAACGAAAATGAATTTTGTAAAGTCATTAATTCAGAGTTTCGTGAATTCCGAGGACGAAATTCCTTTTGTTAGGGGGGAAGAATGTAATACCCCTAGTTTTCAAAAGGATAGAATGGGAATTTAATTTTGATGATTTTGAGTTTTATTGCATTTTTAATATGTGAGCTATGTGTTTTGGTTTGTTTAATTGTTTAAGTGTGTATTTATTTTTAAATAAATGATTTACTTAGATTTGTTTTAATTATTTACTTGAATAATTTGATTGAGTTAATTGTTTTATTTAATTATTTTAATTGGATTAATTTTGTGATAGTTGATTTAGTTGGTTCTCAACGTGACTGTTATATAGCTTTTCATTGGGTTTATAATTTTCATAGGCAGCCGTCATTGATTTGTAACCTAGGTTTACATATGGACCGGGTTATATATGGATTAGGGTTTAATGTCTAAACCTATATATATGTATATTACAGTGGATTAGGGTTTAAAACAATACAAAACAAAACGTAGGTTTTCGGTAGAGCAAAGATACAGTGAGATATTGAGAGACAGAGAGGAAGATAAAGAGAGAAGGTCTAGGTTTTGGTCTGGATTAAGTTTGGACCAAGAAGGAGGAAGGAGAGGTGTTTTTGGGTTGAACCAAGGCACTGGAGGAGCAGACTTGCGCTTTAGGAACCAAACATATTACAGAGACGGTGATTTACAGTTTCAAACTCTGAAATTGCAGGCAAGTCTCTGTTCTATTCTTTCCCCTTAATTCGTGTTCTGTGCATGCCTAGTTAGACTCCAGGGTTTTAATAAAAGATAAAACGGATTGACACAAACATAATAACATGTTTTCCATGCAGATATGAATTTATTTGATTTCAGTGAGTTAACTGTTTTGCATACTGGTTGATTTTCTGCTATCTGTGTCTTTTATGTTTAAGCCTGTTTTAATGAGATTAGTAATAAGATTGGATGCCTTACAATTATTCTGAGAATGAGTTTAATCCCTAGAACAAGATTTTAAAACAGTTTTGAGTTTTACTAAATAAATCTGTTGTAAGTTGTCTAAAGTTGCTATCAGAAGTTATGTAATCGTTGTCGTAAGACTTGTGTCTAGTTCAGATCATGGTTGCATAACAGTGGGTTAAGAGTACCCTAGAACTAAGATTGAACCCTATAACAACCATTAAGAACCTTATAGAGGTCTGGAAAACACTGCAGTCGAAGAAGAAGCAGCAGAACGGACGACGGCACTAAGGGGAAAATAGTAGGCTCCAAGAAGAGGAGGAGCCGGCTCTTTCTACCTTAGAGCCGGCTCCAAAGGAAGGTGGAGCCACTCTAGCATCTAGGAGCCGGCTCCTAGATTAGTTGAGCAGGCTCTTTTGGAAAAAATATAGCAGGCTCTTTGTTTTGAATGAGCCTGCTCTCAATTGAACGCACCAAATTTTGTTTCTGTGCACTATTTGGTCTGTATAGGTTCTTGGAACTTTGTTAGGCTGTTTTAAATTGTTGTTGGGTCTAGAATAAATCCGTTATACTATGGAAAACATTAATCCATGATTAAGCATAAGAATGGAGCAAAATAAGTCTAAGGAAAGCGGTAGATTGCAAACTGATTGTCGTTGCATTACAAACTGATGTTTAATTAAATTCTTGTTTATATAACTCTGTCTTGTGATTACTTTGGATGTGGATGGGATCTTAAAACCTAAAATAAACTAAGCTCAATGACTGGAAACCACCGGAGTTGGAGAAGACAACAGAAGAAGAACAGACGTATACTTAAAGTGGAGAAGGCTCTACTTATTTGGAGAAGGCTCTACTTGAGTGGAGAAGGCTCTACTTATTTGGAGAAGGCTCTACTTGAGTGGAGAAGGCTCTACTTTTTTTTAGAGAAGGCTCTACTTATTTGGAGAAGGCTCTTTGAAACACAGAGCCTTCTCTTTCTCTTAAATATCACGTATACTGAGTTTTAAATGGTCTGGTTGGTTAAATCTGAGTTTCTAAAACTATTTAAAGGCTATTAAATGATGTAATATACTGCTTAGGACTTATAAAATAATGGAGAAGCAAGCTTATATTCTAGAATAAAGGATAGAATTAACATAAGTTTAAACAAGGGTTGTATGTGAAAGATTAAACCACTGATTTGAAGTGCAGACTGTTTTAGAAATCTGATGCCTGTACACGACCCTAAGTTTTAAATTATGTTGTGTAGCTAAGGTTTAAGCATTCTGTTATTGAATTATAGGTATGCTTGGTTGGAATTAACGGACAATTAAATCTGTTGTATATCTCTGTTAGGACACTGTTTGGAGGAGATTTGATGCTTTTGCATGGTCTTAAGTTTTGGATAATGTTTTACAACTGTGTTTTAAGCATGTTTTTATTCAATAATGTGTATGCTTAGTTGGGTTAAACTGATGCTTAAATCTGTACATAAAGTGCATCAGTCAGGGTACTGTTTGGATAACCAAAATTGCATAAACCTGTTTTATCAATTTAATAGACTGAAACTTGGATTCTGAATTTTCAGTGGAGACATGGTTTAGTGACACACATGTTAAACTATACTTATGATTGTTTTGGAATGCGTTGATAATTAATTCTACTATTTCTGTCAACTGTGTTAACTGGAGGATTGTATGTGCCGGTATGGGACGATGACATACTAGGTATGATTAGTTAAAACACTAATCCTACCTAATTTGGAATGAGTTGGATTAACCATAAAAAGGTTAAGTCCCACTTATATGGATATATATGAATCGGTATGGGACGGTGACATATTAGGGATGGCTTAGTTCAAAACACTAAGGCCTACCTATGTTGGGAATGGATTAGTTCAAAACACTAAGTCCGACCCAATTTGGATTCAGGTATGGATTAACCATAAAGGTTAAGTCCATCACCTACATGTGTCATATCAATTATGAATTGAATGATCTACTATGGTTTTAGAATGGATTTATTTTTATACAGATATCAGACCACTACACAGATGAATGATATTCTGTATTAGGAGGAGTACGGACTTTATATATTTATTATATGTGCCATGGTATGAGCCTGAGTCTCAGGACCATGGTTAGGGCGCGTATATCGCCTAGGATGAATAACTGGACATAGGTGTTGTCCCCTGGTAGGTCTAGGTATTCATGCCCACCTTAGGTGCGTATTTGCATGTTACCTTCTATTCAGGCTGAGACAGACCTACTGGACTAGCGAGCATCCTATAGTGTGTACTATATATACATATATAGACTACTCTAGATATTGTTGAGTCTTCCTAGGATGTATCTGCGTATCGGATTACTGTTTGGATCGTAGTAGATCAGGACTTGCATGTGGGCCTGACCCACTCTATTATTTTTCAGGTGTTGGACAGTACCAGGCTTAGAGCTTGATCGTGTTGATGCAAATACAGACACTCACTCTTCCGGTTACATAGGATTTCCTTTCTACTTTAATTTTGGTTTTTAATTATGTAAATTTATTCAAGGTTTTGGGATTAGGGGTCCACTAGGTGGATTCCCGAGTTGTACGGTTTAAAATTATATTAATTTATTAATTCAAGTCTGAGGATTCTTATTTTAGTTTTCTTCCAGCGTATTATTATTATTATTTTTTTTTTACTCTGTTTTTATTTTCTGCTTGTTTACATATTAATTGTTTGGTATCCCTCGGATCTGTGCTCGGACTTGATCACCCGTGGCTCTAGAATTGAGGGGTATCACAAAGGGCTTCCTTCATTTTAGAAGACATGCATCTTTGGAGTGAGGAGTGTATCCTGGACCATTTTTGAAAAAAGCACTTTGTTGATTTCCAAGCATCATTCTCAAATTTTCTTTTCCTTGAGTGAATTTAAAAATAATATTCAATTGATCTTCAATGGTTAGATTTAATGACTCATTTTCAGAAATAAGATTACTAGGTCCCTTAATAGAAATTGACTCTATTTCTTTTTGCAGAGACTCATTTTCATTTTTAGCTTTTTTGAGATTTTTTGAAAGAGCGAAGTTTTCTCTTTTAAGAGAGGCACATTTCAAAACCATTTTTCCTAGATCTTTATGAGGCCCTTGAAAAGCTTCTTGCAATCCATTATATTCATCTAGTAAATCATTAAAGGAAATATCTTGTTCAAAAGAAGAGTCGGAGGAGGAGTTTACCTCATCGTCATTTGCCATAAGGCAAAGGTTTGCTAAGTTGTTCGTAACAAGATCATCATCACTTCCAAAGGTGAGAGAGTCATCATCTTCCCATAAGGCTTTCATGGATTTCTTCTTGGAGTTTTCTTCTTTTTCCTTTTTATAGAGAAAGCAATAAGCTTTGAAATGCCCTGGTTTTCCAGAATAGAAGCAAGTGGATTGCTCCTTTTGAGAAGAGTCACGTGATGATGATGAGGGACTTTTTCTGAGAATGCCTCGTTTATTGTATTTCTTCTTTTGAAGATACTTTTTGTAAGAAAGTGTGGCAAGAGCGATTTCTTCATCATTTTCAATAGCATCTTTGGACACTTCTTCATTTGTGGTGGGTTGGAGAGTAGTTGTCTTTAGTTGAATGGCTTCTTTTGCTGATTGGTCCTTCATGGTTATTTCATATGATAGAAAAGACCCGAAGAGCTCATCTAGAGGTAGCTTTTCAATGTCTTTGGCTTCTTGAATGGTGGTAACCGTTGAGTTCCAATTTTTTGGAAGTGCCCACAATATCTTTCTAACATGATCGGAAGAGGGATACACCCTTCCAAGATTCTTCAAGGGGTTAATAATGTTAGTAAAACGAGAAAAAATTTTCACTGATGGATTCATTTTCATTCATGCTAAAAAGTTCATATTGATGCACTAGTCTATGAATTTTAGTATTCTTGACTTGACTAGTTCCTTCATTGGTAACTTGGAGTTTGTCCCAAATTTCTTTAGCCGTATCACAATCACATATTTTATTGTACTCATCTTTACTTAATGCATAATAGAGATTGTTCTTGGTCTTAGAATTACATTGAACTAGTCTACGGTCATTGGCATCCTATTCGGATTTTTGTTTGGGAACGTTATTCCCTTCTACTGTTTTAGTTGGAACATTGTTTCCAAATTCAACAACATCCCATACTTCAATGTCAACATTTTCAAGAAAGACTCTCATTCGATTTTTCCAATAGTTGAAATCATTACCATCAAATAATGGAAGTTGATTGTTCGACTGTCCTTCTAAAGAAGACAATGAGCCAATGTTGGACATGATCGTATTCTAAGATGATTAAGTCATATGGATAGAATTTAGGCTTTGATACCACTTGTTGCCCAAGAACGGACTCTAGAGGGGGGGGGGGGGGGGGGAGTGAATAGAGTCCATGTCCAACTATGCTAAAATCAAATTTCTCTTGCAATTTCAATAAATGTCTTAAGCAGATAAGCAAATATATAATGACCGACTTAAATTAAGTGAATCAGCAAATAAACACAAGTATAAACCGAAATGTAAATAGGAAAGTTAGAGAGATTGCAAACATAGACGCAGCGATTTTAACGAGGTTCGGAAACTCCTACTCCTCGGCTCAAGACCCCTTTTGAGACTTCCCAATCCAATTTGGCTCCTCCTTATGGGTGGAGAGCAAACCTTGAAAGAAATAGTTCATTCGTTCTTCTAGCTAAGAGACACCCTCTCTTAGTCTTAGGGCCAAACCAGCCCTAACGATAACTTGAATAAGAGAATTCCTTCTCCTAGTCTTACAAAGAAATACGTGTATTACAAATATCTCTCTCTCATAACTTGAGATTACAGTTCACACTCTCTAGAGAATCAAATGATACAAATGAAGCTCATTCTCTCTAAATGATGTAAGTGTGTGAGAGAAGAAATATTTGAAGTTTAGCTTAGAGAATCAATGAGTGGAGGATAGCCACACTTTTTACTCAGCAAGATAGTATGAATAGCTCATAGTTAATTGAGGCTCAAGCACACTCAACAGCAAACTTAACACCTCATATATATAAAGCTATTCTATGATCAATAGTTGTTGTAAACCCTTCTCTTAGCCATTGAGAACCCTTCTCTTGATTAAGACATTACATAGCAACATTTGGCAGAGAAGCTTCTTGAGAAATATGTAATGACCCAGGTTTTATTCAACCCGGTGAGTCAATGGTGAATCGAAAGTTGACCCGGTAACGGATCCAGATACGGAAGCTAGAAACAAGAAAATGGTCTCCCAAGGCGCAACACACCTCTAAGACCCTAAGATGACTTTCCATAAGGTCATGGAACTCAAAAAAAACTGACACGGTAGTTAAAGATCGAAAATATGACAAATAAGCCCCCAGGGGCAAAATAGTCATTTCTAAAAATTATGGATTCGAGTGCCACCGAGCACACCGCTAGAAAGACAACAAAAAAATAATCAGGATGGACTCAAGAATTGCATGATTCGGAGTCCGGACAAAGGAGAAACGGCATGACGAAGAAAAACGAACACTTAAGGCTAAAAGGGTAAACTAGTAATTATCCAAGAATAACTGGATGCAACCGAGCATACCTTTGGAAAGACAATGAAAAATTAGTCAAGTTCAAAAAAAAGTTCACCTGATTTGGAGTCCGGACAGGGGAGAAACGAGGGTTTGAAGTTAAGACGTCGCGACGGCCCGACGAAGGCCATGGCATGCCCCATGCGCGCCCGGCGCCTATGCAGGCACCCCATTCGGTGTCCAATGACATGCACCATGACATGCTAGGAAAGAGAAAATTTCAGCCAGAATTGAGAGCTGAAATGAGGTCTGAAACAGATTTTTCTGGAAAAACTCGAAGAAGAAACCCCCTTCAAAATTGAGTTTTCTACGTGACACAAGTGAGAATTCCAAAAAAAGTCATTGTAAAATGCCCAAAATGCCCCTTCATGAAATCTAGTCATGAAGGCCAAAAAGCTGCTAAAATGAAAACTGGAAGCTGAAACTTCACGAGGGATTTCCGGTACCAAGATGACATTTTCTGGAAAAACATAAAGAAGAAACCCCCCCTAAAATCACGTTTTCCAAATGACCATATAAGGACCGGAATTTATTTCCTGAAGCAAAACCCCAGAATGCCCTAAAACCAGATTATGCAAGAAATTTAAAGAAATGATTCCATAGGAAGCTCAAATCACAAAGGAAAGGGTTTTTCCTCGAAACGATCATGCATGCAGACGTAAATGGTGATTTTGAGCTCGTGGGAATGGTCTGCAACCCCCGGAAATGGCCCAGTGAAAATCCGACCCCCCAACGGCCAAAAAGGTAAAAATGGACTTGAAATGAAAAACATAAAAACCAAAATTAGGAAATGGTTTCAAATGACTATTTGGCCCTTGGCCACACTTCATACAAGATTAATGAGACCTAGTAGATGTGCCAGAACACACTTTACACCAACCGATTTGAAAATGAACCCTTAAAGGCTCGATTTCTACTATTTAGCCCAAAAATGCAATATGTGCACTAAAATGCAAAAATGAACACTAAATGGTGTTTGGCCCTTGGCCACACCTCACATATGGAAAATAAATGCTAAAGGATGAATTACATACACAATGCACACACTGGTGCGAAAATGACATATTGAAACCCAAGTTTTCATGCTTTTCTCATCAAAGGCAAAATTCTACATTTTTCAATATACATGGATTACAAATGAATTTTGGCCCTTGGCCACATATCATATACATAGGATGAATACCAAAAAGTGTGCTTAAGCACATAATACAAGTTTGGAATCAAATATACACATTTGACAAAATGGCTACAAATGGTATTTTAAGTCAAACTTTACAAAAATTGAAACATTCAGGTCTACAATCATTCAAGCAATGATGAACATCACGAACCAAGTCTTCGTACCTGATCAAAACCCCCAGTAAGTTCGGGGTGAGTAAACAAGTTTACTCGTAGAGAATGAGCATGCATCGACTCGATATCTTTAGAGATTTTTAGACTACATGGAATAGTTCAAAATGGTAATACCACCTAACGTCTATATTAAAGGTAAGACTCAGGGAGCATCCTAAGTTACCTTACAGTGCAAACAACAAGGATCATGATTCATATACATGTATGAAACAAATCAAGACTTGGAATAATCCAAGGAACACGGTAAGAAGGATGCTTGAATACGAGCTAACTGAGATTACATTATCGATGCAATTAACATGATTCGGATATTTCAATTGGCAAGATAAGAGAAATACGTGAAGTTAAGATCGTGGCATAATATATATGCAAGTAAACAAGATTGGAACATTCCAATTAGCAAGACAAGAGTAATACATGAAATCAAGAACAAGGCATAATATCTATGCAATTTAACATGATTGGAGCATTTCACCTACACGACGAGTTTAAATCTTCAAGGAATAGCAACTTGAAATTTAAAGAGTGAAATCAAACAATGTGGAAACTTGGATATCGCCTGGATTAAAACCGTACTCTTGGGATCACTTTAAGGCTACCAACCCAAGGGTACCTTCCCCTAGTCTTGGGATCACTTTAGGACTATTAACCCAAGGGTACCTTCCCCTGTTCTTGGGATCACTTTAGGGCTACTAACCTAAGGGTACCTTCCCCTATTCTTGATTGATATACCAAGTCCCAAAATCAACAAGTTGTGCAACCAAGATTGGATCAAAATACAAGAAATGCATTAACCACGTTTCATGCATAACAAAAATTTTGGAACACACAAGTCATGCCCTAAGTTCATCAACTATAATGGCATGTGAAATGTCAAGAAATCATAGTGTGCATCCATATAGATTACAACCAAGATATATATATATATATATATATATATATATATATATATATAGCACATGGTATCCGTTGATGTAAATATACCACAAGTATAAGGTTAATGATTTAATTAATTACTAAACAACACATGTAATTAAATCATTCCAAGACAATTATGCATGTTCATCAAGTACTTTAATGAAACCAAGATACAAGGGATCATGATACTTGATAAAAGGATACAAGTCCATAATTTACAAGTCAAAGTCATAAATTTAACTAGAGTTCAATTTCAAGGCATGATTAACTCGATGGAAGCATACAAATGGAATTTAACCTACTTAAGGGATTAAATTATCAAGATTACAAGGCAAGTCCAATGTCAAGTCACAAGTTCATATTATGCAAGATACCACCATGTGAATTAAGTTTCATACATAGAAAATAATTAAACATAAGTTTCAAAACTTATCCAATTATTCTCAATTTCAAACACATGAAGGGACTTTTCAAGGAAATCATGAATGCCAAGTTAGAAACTTAATCTAGACCAAGGAGCCATTGAATTGATTTTAATTAACCCTTTTAATTAATATCTCTAAGTTCTGAAATTCATTCAAATGATCTCAATTTAATATATGTTATGCAAAATGTCAAGACTTGATTTACTAGCATAATACAAGTGATTTCCATGTTATGTACGACCATGAGTATTAAACTTTAATACTAGAAAAATAATAATTGAAAAGTTTCAAAACCTAATCAAATATTCTAGATTTAATATATGTGAAACTACACGACATGCATATCAAGAATATCAAGTCGGAATTCCAATGGAGTGAATAGTACACTCAGAATAAATTAATCAATCAAATTAATTAAATATTACTAGATTTGAAATCATTTCCGATTTCTCTCAAATTCACCTATGTTAAAGAGCATGCTAGGGCCTAATATAATATGCTAACACACATTGATTTCAAGTGAGTTGAGGTCACATGAATTAATCTTTCACTTAAGATAAATATTAAATAAAATCTTCATTACTTATCCAA